TTTTACGTTCTGATTGTCGTGTTCCAGTAGTTAGATGATGTGACTGGCTATGTGGCAATAAATAGGTGTGATTTAGAACACGGTGTGAGCTTGGTGGCATAAAGCAAATGGACACTTAAATGATGGTGTTTGGTCTGTACCTGCTCAAATGAGATAAAGCTGGTGGTTGTGTTCCCCAGCACATCATTATATTGCTGTGACGTTGGTGGCCGTTCTCATGACTTGCTCACACATCACTTTGAGAGGATGACAAACTTGGCACAACTACTCTTTCATCAAAAGCCAAAATCTTAGAATCCCAGACTGGTATGGATTGGAAGGGACCTTAAAGCTCATCCAGTTCCAACCCCCCTGCCAGCAGCAGGGACACCTTCCCCTAGACCAGGTTGCTCAAAGCCTCATCCAACCTGGCCTTCAACACTTCCAGGGAGGAGCAGCCACAGCTTCTCTGGCCAACGTGGGACAGTGTCTGACCACCCTCACAGTGAAGAACTTCTTCCTCACATCTCATCTAAACCTCCCCTCTTTCAGCTTAAACCCATTTCCCCTTGTTTTGTCATTAACTGCCCTTATGAAAAGTCCCTCCCCAGCTTTCTTGTAGCCCCTTCAGGTACTGGGAGGCCGCTATAAGATCTCCCCGGATCCTTCTCTTCTCCAGGCTGAACAACCCCAACTCTCTCAGCCTCCCTTTCAGTTGGGCTGGTAGCCGACCCCAGCAGGGCTGTGAGCTCTGTGCTGATGGCAGAGGATGGATGTTCCTTCATCCCAGAGCTCCACTGCAGGCACCTGCCTCCCTGCTGTTGATCCTCCTTTGCTGAGCTTTTGGATCCAATGAGAAGCTGAGGTATTTGAACACTTCAAGTGATGTCTGAAGTTGTGTGCTTGTCCTCTGCCATCTGAGGGCCCCGCTACAGCTGGCAGCTGAGAAATCACCTGGGAGATGTCTCCAAGCTGCTGCTCTCCTGTCAGGGTCTCCTCAGCAACTTACAGCTCTGTTCAGTGGCTGGTCCAACATGGGGACCTAAGGGAAGGATCTTCTCTAGCCCAGGCTACACCCACATAGCCCCCCTGGTCTCCTGGGCCATGGTCAGGGCACCCTGAATACCACCAAGCAGCTCTCTGCTGTGTTTCCATCACCTCCTCCAGGAACGTGGCTAAAGTTAAAGCTTCAACGTTCATGACACTTCCCTTTCTCCCGTCCTGTGAGAGGACAGTCTCTGCTAGTGCTGAACTCTCTGCAGTTCCCTTTGCAAGTCCTGCTTTGGCACCATCCAGGCCACCCTAGCAAATCACCTGCCTAGGTGAACATCTACCAGGCAGGTCTGTCTTCAAACTCAAAATTACTGCAAAAATGTCTTTACAAAATCTCTCGCCGCATGACTGTGAGAAAGTCTCTGCTCCATGGAACTGTCATGGGATGGTGGGAATTGGTGTGTCCATTTCAGATGACCCTGGATGGACACACAGCTTGGTCCAAACTGCTTTTATCATTGCCAGACCCTCCTGCTGAGACAGGACCTGCCTTTTTTTTTTTCCTCCAGGGCTTTTGCTTTTGCACACTCACCACCTGAGATACCACAAAAAAATCATAGAATCATAGAATGGTTTGGGTTGGAAGGGACCTTAAAGCTCATCCAGTCCCAACCCCCCTGCCAGCAGCAGGGACACCTTCCACTAGACCAGGTTGCTCAAAGCCTCATCCAGCCTGGCCTTCAACACTTCCAGGGAGGAGCAGCCACAGCTTCTCTGGGCAACCTGGGACACTGTCTCACCACCCTCACAGTGAAGAACTTCTTCCTAATATCTCATCTAAACCTCCCCTCTTCCAGCTTAAACCCATTTCCCCTTGTTTTGTCATTAACTGCCCTTATGAAAAGTCCTTCCCCAGCTTTCTTGTAGCCCCTTCAGGTACTGGGAGGCCGCTATAAGATCTCCCCGGAGCCTTCTCTTCTCCAGGCTGAACAGCCCCAACTCTCTCAGCCTGTCCTCACAGCAGAGCTGCTCCAGCCCTCGCATCATCCTGGTGGCCTCCTCTGGACTTGTTCCAGCTGCTCCAGGTCTCTCTTGTGATGGGGGCTCCAGAACTGGACACAGTATTCCAGGTGGGGCCTTACGAGAGCGGATTAGAGGGGCAGAATCCCCTCCCTCAAAAAAATCACAAGAACCCTGTGGTCACCCACCTCCCAGCCTCACGCAGGGTGCTCACGTGGAGCACGAGAGGTGGCTGGAGCAGGGGGGGTCCTGGCAATTTCAGGTTTTTGGGGTTTGTTTGCATTATCACTTGGCTGTGCACAGCACCACCGGGCAGCAGCCACCGGTCATTAGTTTCCCCTCCTACACGAGCGTTTGGCTCTTTTCCCAAGAAGGCCCTGGGTTGTTTTTTGGGCTCAGAGCCATCTTTTCTGACGGAATTCAGCGAGGACAATGGCCAGTAGCAAATCCTTAGAAAAAGAATCAAAACAGGGCAAGTCTCAGTGATTCTAACCCTGATGGAGCTTCTGGGCGCCTGGAAATCTGCGGCTGGGAGATTTCCTGAGCCAAAGGTTTTTACCTTTGGATTTAAGAAGCTGTGGTTTTATCTTTCTGTTGTGAATATAACCAATTGTTTTGGTATCCACAGCAACTCCCGGCTGTGACTTGTAAAGTTTAATTTAATTTAATTGGGTGGGGAAAAAAAAAACCCACCCAACCCTACAGCCTTTTGTTACAGATCTCTGAGCTGATGCCATCTGATGCTCTGTTGTTCTTACGTGCTGGCATAGTGATGATCCCTTTTTTTTTTATCCTCTCTTCCTTTACTAATAAATCCTAACATTTAATATTGCCTTTTTTATTTTTTATTTTTATTTTTTTAATATTTCATTTTTTATTTTTTTAATTTTTTAATTAATTTTTCAATTTTATTTTTTAATTTTTTGTTTTTTAAATTTTTCTATTTTTTCTATTTTCTATTTTTTCTATTTTCTATTTTTTCTATTTTCTATTTTTTCTATTTTCTATTTTTTCTATTTTCTATTTTTTCTATTTTCTATTTTTTCTATTTTCTAATTTTTCTATTTTCTATTTTTTCTATTTTCTATTTTTTCTATTTTCTATTTTTTCTATTTTCTATTTTTTCTATTTTCTATTTTTTCTATTTTCTATTTTTTAATCTTTAATTTTTTTTTTTTAATTTTTCTTTTTTTATTTTTTTTATTACCACTCTGAGGATTCTTGAACAAGCACCCTCTGGTCCTGGCAACTTTTCATTTATTGATTTGTTCTGTTTTTCTTTTCACCTGACATTTCAATATGAGACAGAGCCTCTAACCTGCTTTCTTTAAAGCCATCTTCCAGGATGGGAACTTCCTGAGGCTCTTTGTAGTGAATATGGACACAAAAGAATTCCCATAACTTTGCTGATACGACCTTGTGTTCCTTGAGGTGTTACCATGGCTTTCCACTGAAATTGCCAATGTTTAAACCCTTTGCTATTTTCCCTGTTTCCAAACAGGCAATTCAATGTGTGTGCATGTGTGAGTGCACGTGCTCTTTTGGCAGCAATATGGACATGGAGGGAGAGATTATTCTTTGTCTTGTTCTTTAGACATTTATCTTCAAGCTATGTGACAAGTTCCAGAGTGTCCACTTGGCTACTTGGAGTAGACAGCTGGTGTGGATAGAGGTGCGCACTGGGTGGATAAGCCTGGTTGGGGTCTCCAGGTTCATTGTAGATGCAGGTTCAGTGCTTGTTAATACAAGAAGGAAAGTGAAGAATGGAGGAGGGAGAAATGACTACGCATTGGACTTGTTTAAGAGCAGTTAAGAGAGTATGTCTGCACAGGAGTCATGGCAGCTGAGCTCCTAAAAAGCTGAATTACAGCTTTGGAGATGATATAGGTAGTCAGGAAATCATGAGTTCTTTACTAAGCATCTGATCAGGTGATGGGTCAGAGTAGGGCTGAGGTCAAGACACTCTTGAAGGCATGGAAGATTGCCCAACCCATCACGAGACAATGACAACGTAGCAACTCTGGAGCACAGTGAAGTGTTGTCTTTGGAGGACTGACATCTTCTCTCTATGCTTTGTCTTTCAGAAATGTAGATGGCAGCTGCTGTCTTTGAAGGACTCTCACCCATCTGACCCTGCGCAGTGCCTCCGATTGCTACCATGATCTTCTGCATGCTGCTGTTGGCCTCACTGCCTGAGCCATCTGGTGCCGAAGTCAACCCTGGTAGGGAGCTGCCAGGCTGGGAAGGGACTGATCTCCCACCTTTCATATGCTTGTTCTCAGCCTTTCTTACCCTTTCATGGTGAATGTAATGACTTTCATAACGACTGTAACGAATGCACGTGAATATAATCACTAATGTAGTTCTTGAGTGTCCTCCTCTGGACTGAGATGGCCAGTCTTCCTTGACAGCTGGAGTGGGACGCCTCTCCTGACAGTCCCAAGAGGGCTCTGGCACATGGATATATTCCTTTCTCTGCTCACCCAGAGGGTCTGGGCTCTCAGCAGACCTATCTTGAGCTCTGACTATCCCCTTCACCACTTTGACCATATGGCCTGCAGAACAAACCTGGCTCTAGATTGCCTCAGAGATACTGTCCTCACTGTGGAAAGCAAATTACCAGTTAGCAAAGCATAAGCCACAGCTCTCGAGCCAGCAAGAGGGGTTCTGGAGAGGGAAGTGTGGAATGAAGGATAGAAAACCCTACCTGGTATAAAGCTGGGGTGGAGACAGGGATATGGGCCTCTGAGTCCCTGTGGAGGGCATGAGCTCTTCTCCTCCAGCATTTGGCAAGTTCTAATTGTGACGGAGATGAGTAAGATAACAGTAAGTCTGCAGTATAGCACAAAAATCCCTGTGATGAGGTGGTTTGAGCTGGAGACAATCTGTGAAATAAATGAGTCTCATCCTTTTCCAGCTTGGCTGAAGGTGTGGTGAGGCACAGTGCTGCCCTCAGGGCCTTCCTTTGCTCTGCTGGGTCTGGCTCTGTTTGTTTGGAGCCCTTTGTGTTTGGCTCTGACCCTGCTCTGGCCTGTGGATTTTGCAGAGGGTTGAGGTTGTGCTGCAGCAAGCTAGAAATGAGGTGAGGGCTTTAGGGGGGGCTCAGCAGGGACTCCTGTGCTCTCTGTTATACAGCTGTGCCCTGCACTGGACACCCCCCACGTGTCCAGCTTTGATCTGTGGTTGCCATCGGGTTCTGATGGTGAAAACCTCATGGAAAAAGAGGGAAGATGGCAGCTAGAGGGTCAGTCAGACACAGATTCCTTTTGGTGATGGCAAGGACTGAAGTTAGCACAACCAAAGGTGCAGGAGCTAGCTTCCCCACCACCAGGTCCTGGGAGGTGGGGTGGGCTCTGAGCACAGGGCTGTGGTCCCACCCTCCTGTCCACCAAGAACTGAGCACGTAGCTTTGCTCACGCTTCTCAGTTCTGCCTGACACTTCCTCAAGTAGCTTGGTGTTCTCAGCTCCCACAGCTGCTCAGCTGCCTCTGTCCTGAGGGGTCATGCCCTGTTGTTCTCACCCAGACTCCCAGCACACCCATAGCCCAGCTGATGCTCCTTGGCTGTGATGCTTACAGGTTATCTTGACCTCCTGGTCTGTTCCAGGAGTGGTCTGAAGCACCTCCTGCGTTACCTTCTAAACCAAAGGGGCTGCTTTGGAGATGGTTTCAGACCTGTGCAGGAAGGATCCTGTGGAGTCCTTTTGCCTAGCATCCCTTGTTTGACCTCACTAACAGAAGGGAGCTGTGGCACTTTTCTGAGCCTCAATGTGTCCTGTCTGCATTGGCAGGTCAGTGTGTCCCTGAGAGAGTAGTAAATGCTCAGGGATATCTGAGCAGGAGTCCTGGTGGGACCTAAACAGAGCCTAAGGATGGTTTTGCTCAACAGGATGTGTATTTTGGTGAGAGCCACGGCCACCCATCGAGTGTTTCCCTTGATGCCAGGGACACTCTGGCTGCCATCTGCCAGCCCTGGGTTTGTGAACTGATGAGTTGTGTTAAGGATTGCAAATCCCAGGCCCTCAGAGTCCTTCCCAAGTAGCCAGCTCTCCATCTGGCATTGCAGTAGGGTGTGCGCTTGACCTTTAAATAAGGTGTGACCAGACAGGACTCCCACTGTGGAAACACAAAAACACTTTCTGCACCCCACCCTTTTGGAAAAGCTTCAATATTCAGCTGTAATTCAGCAACGTTCTAGCTTTCCAGCAATAGATCAGATGGTGCTAGTGGTGGGACAGGTGAGAGTGAAGATAAACCAGGCTGGTTTGATTTACTGAACTTATTGTTGAATATCAGAGCAGGGTTGGAGCTCTCAGCTGGCTTTTGGCAGCCGCAGTCATCGTGCCTGATCCCAGCTGCCTCCCAGTGAATTATTCTGTAAACAGACCACTTAAGAAACCTCAGATGTACCAATGAATGTTCTGGATGAGACCAGAGGTGCATCCAGCCTGGTGTCCTGACTTCAGCAGAGAGTCCCATTCCTCCTGGTTCTGGCAGACTGCACAGATGGACATGTACTCAGCAGTGTTTGACCCCAGGGATGCTCTTGCTGCGCTCTGCTGCTTAGGAGCTTTCTGAGCTACTACTTGTGTAGTCACCTGTGGTAGCTGTGAGTTTGTCTCACTGATTTTTTCAAACCCATTTGACATTCAGAGTGTTTAACAGATTAAGGATGCATATGTTGTTTTTGAACTCTGCCACCTGATCTTTTGATGCCTCCTGGTTCTGGGATTTTGAGAGACAGTGAGTCTCTTTGTCAGGATATAAATGATCTTTGTCACACTTGACCTCAGTAATCTTCTTGACATGATGAGGCTGCTAATCTTATATCATCTGTGTTGTCTTCTCTGCCTTTTGGTGGGAGAAAGAAGGAGTAAGAGCTCTGTTCCATATCTGACTGGCATCTGACCCTGAATACAGTGGTGTAATGATATTTTCTAGTTTATATAAATTCCTATAATTTGCTTTTTCTATATTAAATAATCTGGTATCATCAAGCAAACATTGTTACCTCACCACCCATCTCCTTCACAAGATTATTGAGGAATATATAGAACATCCCAGAGTCATTGATAACTGTGCCTGAAAGCAGCTGCAGCCAAAACCCTATTGCAACAACCTCTGCAAACATGTGCCAACGCACACACATGCCACCCTGGAGTGACCCGAGCATCTGCTGGCATTTGCAGTGTCACTGTGAGGGGAGGAGCTGGGGCTGGTTTTGGGGGGGGGAGCAGCTGTAACCCCAGAGGAGAAAGAGCAAAAATCTGTAGGAAAGTCCATTTCCTCTTGTTCTGGGTCTTGCCATTGACTTATGTGTTTGTCTTTTAATTGTTTAATGATTTAATCCCATATAATGTTCTTTTTAATCTGCTGTTGATGTCAGTCTGACAAAAATATCTTGCTTGCCTGTTTTGAATACTGAACCCTAATGAATACATTCAGATTTTGAGTTTTCTGAAACATCTCTCATGTTCCAAGATGTGTTACAAAAACTTGTGTCAGGGGAGAGAGCTTGGCCAGCTTGGCTTTGTCAGTGGTATCTGCACTGTCTTTGGGGTATTGAGCTTGTAGAGCTCCGTGGCTGGAGCCAGTTGTGTCTGTACTCCCTGGAGGCACCAAGTTTGAGAGTCTGCTCATGCCTGGAGAGAAATTCTTGCTCCATTTGAGGAGCAGGAGGCAGGGAACAGGCCAGGATAGGACAGTGTGGATGGGCAAGGGTCTGTGCTCAGATGTAAACTCTAATCTGAGTGACACAACAGAGCAGATGTTTCCATAAACTAATCTAGTCATCTGTAATAGAAGCTGTTTTACTTCTCACTTGTTACTAGACTGGTGAAAATAATAATTTTCCCTGTTTTAACCCAAGTCAAGCATCCAGTTTATTTCAGAAGAAGAAAGAAAAGCTTTAAAAATGTTTCCTTTTTATGTCACATCATTATTGATAAATAATTATTCATTGTAAAATAGGTCCATGCAACCAGTAACACTATTATGGTTTTGGATTTCATGTTCTTAAAATGTTCCTTTGTAAAGTTTTTTGCCTTGCCAGGACTCTGCTGAGTGATATTAACTGTGAGTGTATTTCATTACTTACAATTTCAGTTTATGGTGATTACGAAGGAGTAAATCCTTTTTAATTGCATTCTCTATTTGGTCATTACCATCTTTATTCCTTAGGCATTCTAGCCTTTTAATTAAACTTGTCTGGAGATTAGAAAGAATTGGTAGTAATCTTTTTTTGTTCTTTTTTTTCCTTGCTTGTGTTCCCATTTTCAGCTATATGCCGTTACCCCTTGGGCATGCATGAAGGGACGATACGAGACGAAGACATCACTGCTTCCAGTCAGTGGTATGATTCCACAGGACCCCAGTATGCACGGTAGGTTAATCTCTGGCACAAAAAAAAAAAATGATCCTTTTTTATTTCTTCTACATAACAAATACCTGATTGAGGAAGAAGTTCCCTCACTTTTAAAGAAATCTGCTTAGCTTATTCACTGCTTCCATATTAAATCTAATTAATGCATAATAAAAGACCAAGAGGCAGTGATCGTAGTCACAAGCTGTAATACAGGAAATTCTGATTCAATATTAAGAAGAGAAAAAAAGAAAATCCTTCCCCATGAGAATGAAGTGGTGGGACAGGTGCCCAGAGAGGTGGTGGTGTCTCAAGTCTTTGGAGATCTTCAGGATTTGTCTATACAAAGCCTTGAGCAACACACTGTAGCTTTGGTGTTGGCCCTGCTGTGAGCAGGAGGTTGGACTAGAGACTTCCAGAGGTTGCTTTCAACCCTCGTTGTCCTTTAGTTCTGTGAATAAATCTCTAATGGATCTGTGACTTACAGGTCAGCTAGGGACACCGCCTCTGGGATTCTTGTAGAGTGCTTTAAACTAAATTGTAGGAAATAATTTACAAGAATGAACTTTTCAGCAGCATCCTATTGAGGAAATGGGCTGTGTCCACTTTGACTCAAAAGCCTGGAAACTACAGAGCTAAGGAATTGTTAAAAAGCAGCTAAAGGATTTTTTTCCATGTCAAGCAGTACTACTTTCTCATAAGCTTGGCTTTTCTTCTTTTGTCATTTAATTTCTCTCAAAGCTACTAACTAATGATTTACAAAATACTTACAAATGTAAGTTTTCTTAGAATTGTTTCTAATGATGATAATCAAACATTCCCACAGTTTTGGTGCAAGTCAGATATGGATTTCAGGTTAACTGATACTTAATCATAGACTGGTTTGGGTTGGAAGGGACCTTAAAGCTCATCCAGTCCCAACCCCCCTGCCAGCAGCAGGGACACCTTCCACTAGACCAGGTTGCTCAAAGCCTCATCCAACCTGGCCTTCAACACTTCCAGGGAGGAGCAGCCACAGCTTCTCTGGCCAACCTGGGACACTGTCTCACTACCCTCATAGTGAGGAATTTCTTTCTAATATCTAATCTAAACCTCCCCTCTTTCAGTTTAAACCCATTTCCCCTTGTTTTTTCATTAACTGCCCTTATGAAAAGTCATTCCCCAGTTTTCTTGTAGCCCCTTCAGGTACTGGGAGGCCACTAGAAGGTCTCCCCGGAGCCTTCTCTTCTCCAGGCTGAACAGCCCCAACTCTCTCAGCCTGTCCTCACAGCAGAGCTGCTCCAGCCCTCGCATCATCCTGGTGGCCTCCTCTGGACTTGTTCTAGCTGCTCCAGGTCTTTCTTATGGAAAAGAAAGACTTATATTTTTATCTTACTTATATTTTTATGATGTATTTGGGCAGTCCAAAATCATAACGTTCTCCTAGTGCTTGATTATTTTTTTTCCTTAGTCTATGGTAGAGCAAAGATGCTGCATGTCATGTGTTTTAATGGAGTTTGAACAAGCCTGTGGGTCTGAAAGCTGGGAGGCTTATTTTGTTCTCCAAGGTATGGCTTATCTCCAGTTCTGCAAATACTTGAGGCATCACTTACCATCTGTTACTGTCATCTCCTTGCCAGGGCAGCTGGATATCCACAGGGTGAAGACATGAAGGCACCTTCTAGCTGACTTCATTTTGTTAGAGGTCATGTTTGTCCTATGCAGACGTCTGTCCCTGTCATTTCCCAGTTGCCCTTCCTGCCTTTCTTATAACTTATTTTATTTGCCCCTTCACCTTGAGAACGCCTTGCACAAACAGCTGACCACCCCGAGACAAAAATCTCTAGCTTGTGCCTTGACCTTCAGTGTCTCTTCTGGGTGCTGCCTTCCTTGGTGTGTAGGGGTTGGCACTCACTAATGCCATCAGTTAGAGACAGGATGCCTGTCTGAAAGACAAGGGCACTTCAAGGGCTTTGCTCTTCATTATGAAATCACTGTTGCTGGATAAATTTTTCATGTTAAACTCTCAGCACCTTGTGGCTTGCACAGCTGAGTTTATGGAAGCCCAGGTAAGGCAGTGGCTCCTTTAGTGGCTCCACCTGCTGATAGCTGCAGCACTCTGCTCGATCTTCGAGGACAAAAGCCTTAATTGTTGTCACTGGTGCCTCAGTGTTCAACCTTGGAACAGAGACCTTTACATCGTACACCCAGCAGTGTCCTGCAGAAGCTACTCTGCTGAATGGAGGAAGGGTGGAAGATGAGATGACTCAGAAAAAGTTATAGATGGGCAGAGCTTTTATTTCTAAAAATATATATTTTAAGATAGCTCCTCTTTGTGCTTGTTAGAGCTGTAGGGGGTGGTCAAGCAGAGGTTCAGGGCTGACTCTATGGGGTTTAGGAGAAGTGAGGATGCACTTTACCAGCAAGGTCCTAAAAAGCGTTCAGGATGCAATTACCTACTGAGTAAAATAGATGTTTCCAATCAACATGAAAGTGTGTGTCTGGGAAAATAGTTACTTCTAACAGTTAATGAAAGTTATCAGAAACTGAGGGAATTGTTCTGAACAGGGCAAAACTGGCTCCAGGACTCGGATAAGTCTCAATCAACCATCACCCCCAAGGAGAGAGGTACTTGGCAGCCAGCTGTCAGGTCTCACTTGCAGGTGTGGTTTATTTCTCACAATTCTCAGAGTTTCAAGGTGTCTCCTCAGTTATTGAGAAGGCTGGATCCTTGGAACTGACTTTTTTTAATGTTGTGTGGTTTTTTTCCCCCTCAGGTTACAAAGGGAAGAAGGGGATGGAGCCTGGTGCCCAGCTGGCTTGTTACAACCAAAAGATGTACAGTTCCTTCAAATTGACCTGCACAAGCTCTTTTTCATCACCTTGATTGGGACTCAGGGACGACACGCCCGTGCCACAGGCAAGGAATTTGCCCGTGCTTACCGAATTGACTACAGCCGCAACGGAGAGCACTGGATCTCCTGGAAAGATCGTCAGGGCAGGAAGGTGAGTGCAGCAGGAACTGAATCGTGGAGGATGTAGAAGTCAAGTCATAGAGAGCTAAACTGGAGAAGATGTGTCCTCTCCATACTGCCTAGTGCATCGTACTTTATCCTCACTCTTCTCTGTCAGCATTCAGTGTCTTCTTCCTTAGTCCTGTGTTTGCTGTGATGTTGGACTCTTATTCCCCGACCTGATCCCCCAAATCCCACCCATTGACAGGACTGAAAACTGTGGCTCTTTGCTACCTTTCTGTCCATGACTGAAAATTGTGACATGACTGAAAACTGTGGCTCTTTGCTACCTTTCTGTCCATGTTCATAATATCAGGTGAATGTCCCTCTACCAGCCAGACACTGGCTTCTAAATTGGAAACTGCAAAGCAGATGCCTGCTTTGTGATTAAATTCATAATATCAGGTGAATGTCCCTCTACCAGCCAGACACTGGCTTCTAAATTGGAAACTGCAAAGCAGATGCCTGCTTTGTGATTAAAAGAAGAGAGTGGATGGCAGGGAATGGAGCTGAGTTTCTGGAGGTCTGATAGTGGTGTTTAATGTAGGGAGCAATAAAGAAAGAGAGGGGGTGGCAGGGAATGGAGCTGAGTTTCTGGATGTCTGATAGTGGTGTTTAATGTAGGGAGCAATGAGGAGGGAGGAGTTTAGAGAACAGGAAATGTGCAGAGCACACACACTCAAAGAGGTTTCCTTGCTCACCACAAGTTGTCCCCTGCCATCTCCAGAGTTGAGCACACAGCTCAGCACTAGCTGTGCTCTGCTCAGGTTTATAAGCCTTTATTAAACTTTCCTTAGGAAGGAATCCCCTTCTCTCATCTGCAGCTGGTCTGACCTGATCACCCTGCCTCAGGCTGGCTTGTGCAGTCTGAAGACCTAAACCAGACTTCACAGAATCACAAAATGTTGGGGATTGGAAGGGACCTCCAAAGATCATCTCATCCAATCCCCCTGACTAGAAGAGGTTCTGGGTGTGGTGATGTTTTCTAGCACTGGGGGGGTGCTTTGGAAGTGACAGCAGGGTCTGCATTGCAGTGTTAAGTATTAACTTTGAGCTTGTTAATGAATTATTTGCTCACTCAGACCTTTGATCGCCTATTTGGCTGTTACCATTATCTTGCCCATCTCTCACATTTTGGTGTGTGCTACAAACACTGTGATTACAGGATGGGAGGGGAAGTTTAAACTCCATGGGACTAACTGTTCTTCATTGGTGCTTTCTTTGGTGAAGTCTGTCTGCATCTCAAATTATATCAGGATTCAGTTGGCTACACTGTCCATGATCAGTTATTAAAGACTTCTTGGCTCCCACTGCAGTCCTGTGCAGAGCAGTGTCCTCAGGCACTCAGGACTCTGTTAGTGTCTGGTGTTAAGATTTAGGATGGGTCAGTTTTTGCAAGATCTCCCTCTTAGGCCATAATGAGCATGTATTCAGCTGTGTATGATGCTAGAATTTGAGCCATCCTCTATTCTAGTCTGTATACATGGAAGTCAGCCTATATTCTGCCAGTGTGTGTACCTCTTGCCCATTACATGAGACCATTTCCCTCGTGGTATCCTTAGAGAAGATGCTTCTGCTCTTCTGCTCTTGACATGACACACACAGTGGGGTGCAATTCCTGTCGTTTCAGCTTTCCATAAAACACATTTTTCAAAATGGCCATATTCCATTAGTGAATCCATATTTCAGAGGCACTGCTGTTTGGTCAAATAATTTGGTAAAAATATTCTGTAAAATCATCCAAGCCTTGGAAGGAGCTGTAGATGGAGTCTCAAAATCATCTTCTACTTATTTGTCTTAGGAAGGCCTCTTCCAGTCCTGCAGTTGATTGATTCCCAGTCACTGAGATTTCAGGGTGTGACTGTGTGATCCCATCTTGGCATGTCTCTGACCAAAAGGTTTCTGTTAAAAAAAACCAAACCAAAAACCACAAAAAAACCAAACAAAAAACCCACAAAACCAAACAAAAAAACCAACCCAAACAAAAAAACCCACCACCAACCAACCATGGTTTCTGTTAAAAAAAAAAGAAATCCACAAAAAACCAAACAAAAAATCCACAAAACCAAACAAAAAAAACCAGCCCAAACAAAAAAACCCACCACCAACCAACCAAAAACCCAAACCCAACAGCACTGTGCTGTGAAGTTTCAGATCTCACAGGATATTGTGCCACCAGATATGTAGCACATGCTGCTCTTCACCAGGAAAATCATCTCCAGCTCTATCTCCTCAGTAAAAGCAAAGGGTCACGTTGCTGTCCCCTTGGCTCTGACACCAGTTAAGGGTGGTCCTGTCCGTTGGCACTAACCTTGCATGGTGCAGTGCTGTCGAGTCCCAGTCTCTCATCAGCTTCTGGGATCAACCATCTACAGTTGTTTGCCAGCAGCACTGCTTCATTCCTGATGTTGTTGGGAATATTGACTGGTGTCAGTAGTGACCAGGACTGGAAGCTGGTGATGAGTTTGGCTCACACACAACTGATTTACTTTGGGGTTTATTTTGGCCCTGAGAAACTGAATGTGCTCAATAGCAGCAACCCCACCTTGTGGAGGTGCTATGCAAAGTGCATCTGCTCTTTGCTTCTCAGATGATGTCCATACAGGACAAATAGAATCATAGAATTGTGGAATGGTTTGGGTTGGAAGGGACCTTTAGAAGTCATCTAGTCCAACCCCTGGACTGTCACTCTGCAGTGACCAAAAATGTCAACTCTTCCAATACAGAGCTGGTGCAAAGGTACCTTTTTCTGAAGGGGGTGGCTGAAGGATTTACCCTCTTAGTCCATCCAGAACTCTGTCCATGTAGAACTTTTTGACTTGACATATTTGCCACCACCAGGATTCCCCATCAAGTGGTCAACTCCAGAGGATCTGTTCAACTCCTGTGTGAAGGTGTGGGGTATTCTGACACAGCTTGTCTCCTGTTGGGTTTTATCTCCTATCAACAAGGTCTTGTGAAGCCAGCTTAGATGGCTTCCAGGTCTCCTATCTTAGGCCATCTGCCAGCTGAAATGGTTAATCACTGTCACTTGGTTCTTGAAGTCGAGGATTATTTGTGCATCCCTACATCCCTTGAAGTCAAAGATTATTTGTGCATCTTCATTGGAAGAAGTCATGGGTGTTTCTCTTAGGAAGAGAGATATTAAGAGGCTGCAGATTAAAAGCCTGTTGAGGAGCTGAAGAAGATGAGGAGCCAGCTCACTTTTTGATTCTCCTTCTGTTTTCTTTGGTCAGCTCCTGGGATCTGTGCACCTTTACAAAGCTGTCCAGCCAGGTGGAGGAAACTGTTTCACAGCTATCCTGGTGCTGTGACCACTAGATGTGACTGTCTCTTCTCCAGGGACATGCAGTCTTCTGAGTGGCTTTCTTTTTGTGGTACAATGAGGTCTTTCACTTCTCAGTAGTCTCTCCAGCCACACTTACTCTCTGGAGATCTTCCCTGCTGCCATGAAGAGGAGGACACCTTTCTGCTCCCTTATTGACCTCCCTCATCTCCAACAATCCATGTGGTCTTTTGAGTAACCTCAGCCTTGATTCATTCTTCCCACCAATAGTATCTTTGAACAGGAGCCTTCACACTTGTAATTCAGACTTTTTATATCAAAAATGTTCTTATGCTATTTCCATAGGTCCAGATCCTTTACAAAAAAAAAAAATCTCTTGGGTGCTTTGTGTTTCTAGTGGGGGATTGACAGCTTCAGCTGTTTCCACACCCTGACTGTGAAAACAAATAGTGGGCTGTTCCCAGAACAGTGGTGACCCTGAGGAGAAGGGGAGGGTGAAAGTCCCTGTATCAGACTGCACTTCAGCAGGGTGGGGTGACCTGGCAATGCTGAACCCTTCATTCATGACATCTGCCATGCAGCTGCTTGCACCTTCATCCCTCAAACACTGCAGCACCTCTGGAATTATGTTGGCTCCTAGAAAAAGGCCATCAGGACCCTCCACCAGGTAACTAGTGATGAGAGCAAGCGCTCAGTTACCTGCTGGTAGTGTATGTGGACATTCACTTGATGAAAGAAGGTTAAGTACAAGTAACTGGAGCTTTCTGCAACAAATAGTCCACATGTATGTTCATCTCCCACCTGCCTTTCTCCTCTCCCTTGGAATGCTGCCTGGTGTGGGTCTGCAGTGGAGAGGAGGTAAAATAGCAGCACCCTTCACCCTTGTAAGCCACGTAGCAGGTAGGAGGAGGAGAGCAGCAGTGCTGCTAATCCTCTGCAGATACTCCATGGGAAAGCTCCCCAGTCTCAAATGATGGGATACAAGTTGCACCACGAACAGCACAACAAGGAGAAGTTGCTGGTAAAGGTCTCTGTCTCTTCTCCAGGTGATCCAAGGCAACATCGATACTTATGATGTGGTCTTGAAAGATCTTCGGCCTCCCATCATCGCACGTTTTATCCGAGTGATTCCTGTGACGGAGATGCCAATGACTGTCTGTATGAGGGTGGAGCTCTATGGCTGTGTCTGGTATGGTAAGTAGCAATTTCCATACCTGTCACTGGAAAGTAATCCTTACACAACGCTGACTGGGACTCACCTGCGTCCCCACGTATGCAGAGGGAATCCCAGGCTCGTGGAAACTGCTTCTGTTGGTCCACATCATAAATTAAAAGGATCATACGGACAGAGATGATGGAAGGCTGCTGCTGCTGCTGTATTTCTGAGGTATATGGCCTTCTTTTTTTAGATGGTTTGGCATCCTATAGCATCCCTGAAGGAGGGACAATAGCGGCTCCTGGCTTCCCCATCGTTTATCTGAATGACTCGACCTATGATGGCTACCAGGAGCGCAGGTGGGAGAAGTCGTCCTGTTCTCTCTCGGTCACTGTGCAAAGTATCTTTTCTTTCCTACTTACCCTGTCACTAGTATCTTGTATCCCAAACACTTTTTGAAGACCTCCAGAGCTGCAAGCTAGCCTGCTAGTTCTCCAAAGCATCATGGCTTTGTTATTCCAGGCCCTTTGACCCATTGTTAGTTGTTTTTTTTTTTAAAGGAGGGCATGGGCTCAGGATACATCAAATTTGATTCCCCCAGCTGAGAAAGGCTGGCAGGAAAGAAATATATTTTGTTGGTGCTATTGTAAGTTGTTGCTTCTCTTTAAAGAGAAGAGTGTGTCCTTGGTACAGCTGAGGGCTGTCTTTGTTCATAGCTTCCATCATGATGTAAGGACACAGTCCTGATGGGTCTGGTTGCCTTAAAGCCCTCATCACTCTTGGTCTCTAATTGTGACCATATTCATTAGTGCACTGATTTCTTTGTTGGTTCAGGTATAGCCTTAAGCTGTTGTTGATGCTGCAGATCATAAGGTGCTGCTACTCTTCTGTTGCCCCAGATTGGAATGGTAGAGCTGGCTGGACCTTCTACCTGCACAGTCCCAGTGTCCCTGGAGCAGATGAAGGTCCTTCCCTCTTCATTGCCTTTGTTTGATATCTGAAATGCATTCTCTAGCAGACTGCATCTTAAACTGTTGCAGGAGGTCTCCAGGGTAAACTGGGCATCCAAGAAAGTGCACAACACCTGAACTCTAGGCCTGCACTTGGTACCTGTGAGCTTCTGGACAGATTTCAGAGATTGTTTTTGAAAACAAAGCTCTGATGGACTTGAAACAACTTGGAAAACTGCATCACTCCCTGTGAGAAGCTTCAGGTCAGCAGAGGCACCACTGCCAATGTTGTATGAGAGGAAGGTGGCTGATTACTCACTGTAAAGATTTCTTGGGTATGATGCTTTTCCAATTTGGAGTAAAAAAGCACAAAGTAACTGGATTTTGACAGCTCATTACAAGGTCTGTTAATTTTTCATGCCACTGAGATTAGTTAGGTAGGGTGGCATGTTACTGACATTTTGAAGTGTCTCTGGTTTAGCCAATAGTTGACTTTTTTGAAAGGAGAGTTCATGGACAGTCGGTACCTGCAATGTTAAATAAGTGTCTGAACTTTCAGACATTTAGTGTGTTCACTTTCTTTGCTATAAATACAGATTTGAATGTGTTTCAACACCTTGAAACCTCAGACAGACTTGAGCACAGGTATCCTCTTGAGGCAGCACATCCCTGCCTGTGCAGAAATGTGCCTCGTAAGTGATCTGACTGTGTCTCTCCAGTGACCTGGTGTCATCCCTTGAGTTAAGGTGCTTTTATTATATGTCCTGTTCCAGTTGTCATTAACTTCCTGAAAAGTTTTACTGTTGCCTAATTTTTTTTTTAACGTGTAAAGGTGATTTTTGTAAACTTACTGAACTTCTCTCAGGATGGAGGTTAAAATAATGGGGTAGAAAGTACATTCTTCAGTCTTGTAGGAAGTTGCAAGATACTGAGTAACAATCTTTTTATATGTTAATATCTGATGTTTTCAATCTGCATTGATATAGTAGGGATTGGATATATTTCAAAAAAGAGTTGTATGTGTAGAAAGGTGAAAGTGTTGCACTTAAGCTGTCCAACACTACCTTAGGAAGCTGGCTCTGCTGGGGTGTGTCAGGGAGCCACAGGTGTGTAGGCACAAACCTCACCGTGCTAAGCAAGGACTCTTTCAAACTATTTAACCTCTAGGGCATGTGCCTGAAAAGCAGGAGGCTGCTTCTTCCAGCTGTTAATCCTGTTTTGGAGTTCAAAGGCATTCATACCTCTGCGAACTCTAGTGACAGGAGAGCTCACCTGGAATGTACCTGCAGAGCTTCAGTGCAGGTAGCAGCAGCCCAGCCTGGGTTACAAAGAGTGCCTAGAGGCAGCTGGATGGAACAGGTCTGGGGAGAAAGTTCAGGCACTAACACAGCTGAGCTGTTTGTATTTTCCCTGCTACAGGACAGAGGACAGGTCAGGGGTGGCTCCCAGAAGGCAGGTGGGTCAGGAACGTGCCACATCTGGCATCTTCTGCTCCAGGACAGTGCTGGAAAACTGTATAGTGGGCTCTGTACCCTCAGATAGGATGTGGAATGAGGGTCCTGAGTGAAGAGTCTGGTCAGCCTTGGAAACAGAGCTGGTAACATTCTCCTCTTGTGTAAGGAGCAATGGCAGAAACAATCCCAGTTAGAACTGGCTGTGGCTGGATGAGCTGCCCATGGTCTCGCTGTTCTTTCTCCTCCTTTTCTGTGCCTGTCTGCAAACCTTTCCCCAACTGGTTCCCCCAGGACAGGATGGAGCAGTGCTCCTCCCATGCAGCTCCATGGTGAAATCCTGCAATTAAAGCTCTCTGTTTGGAGAACACAAAGTGTCATTTTCTGTAGTCTCAATTGTCATTCTCAAGAGACTCTGCTCGTAGCTTGGCTTTGCTGTCAGTGCTTGATAGCAATGCAAAAACTTTTCCCAAGCAGGGAAAGATTTTTAAAAGCCCAGCCCAAACAAAATAAAGATGATGTTGCATAAGAACAGGGAGTGAGTTCTTGTCCAGGATGGGTTAAGAGTAAATAAATGAATGTTTTCCCGGTACCAGTTGAAGGACCCATGTGTTTGATCTCTCTTGGCTGGTATTCTCCCTAACTGTTGGTTCTTTCTTGCTAGGTACTTGTACGGTGGTCTGGGCCAGCTGACAGATGGTGTGTTGGGACTGGATGACTTCACACAGAGCCACCAGTACCGTGTGTGGCCAGGCTATGACTATGTTGGCTGGAAGAATGAAAGCTTCAGCACAGGCTCTGTTGAAATGGAGTTCCAGTTTGACCGACCACGGAACTTCACCTCCATGAAGGTAGTCACCCTTGTACCTCTCCAGCAGGCTTTGGATGCTTCCAAATTGCCCCTTTGGGGTCTTCTTCTCAAAGCAGGAGGATATAAGGTGCCTGATGGCAGAGTCCACCCCTAGGCAGAATTTGAGCAGGAGATGTCCCAAGTTTGCCAATGTAGAAAGGTGAAGCAGGGGAGGACTTGCCTCTCCAGAGCTCAGGCACTCTCCTTTCAGTATTTGACCAAAAGGAATAAAAAAGAAGACACCTGAAGCAGTGGTGAGGCAGCTGAGGTGGATTTAGGATGTAGGCTACTTACTGTCTAGGGGGTGCCTGACCCTGGAGATAGAGGAATGTGGTTGTGCTTCCACTTTGACCAAAAATTTCTCTGGATGCCTCCATCTTTGCTTGTGCTGTGGGAAATTACTTAAACACACAGGAAAGGGATGAACTGAACTTTTGAGTCTGTAGTAAACAGCAGAATCTCTTAAAAAGGATTGGTGGCTTTTCTTGTAGAGATTTCAAATGAAGGAGAACCCACCACATCCTTAAGTAAATTGCTTTGGTGGTTACTTACCCTAGTTTTATTTTGTCTATTTTTAACTTGCAACCATTGGCTCTTAGCCTGCTTTTTGCTGGCAAAAATAAGAGTCCTGCCTTCTCAGAAATTTTCCTGCTTCTACAGTATGATTAAACCACTCTTTTAATCTTGGCCTCAGTAAACTAAGTTGGCTGAGCTTCTCAGTGCCTTCCCTGTGAGATCCAGGGTCACTTTTGTTGCTATCTTCCAGTCCTTTCTTTCTTTGCCAGTACTCTTTTGGAGGTATAGAAACTAGAACTGGATGCAGGCTTTACATCAAACTGCTTGAAAGAATGGTATCAATTTCCTGCTTTTGGATAATTCTTCTTTATTTATCAATCTTGTAATCATATTAGTCCTCCTAATCAAGGGATAGGGAGCCACTGTTCATCAAGACTTTGTCGTGCTACAAGTCAGTTCAAAGTTATTGGTGTCCAGGATAAAAGTCCAGTGTAGAAAAGCGTCACTTACATTTTGTTCCTGAGTTCACTACCCTGGAATGAGTCAGTCCTGAAAACTTCAGATTATTTTAAGAAACTTTGATTTTCTAAAACTTTTCCCCCCCCTCCATTTAATTTCTTTTATTGCTAGTGATTCTGCTGTCTCTTTCAGATCATTAAAAAAGTAGCAAATAACCCTGAGCTAGGAATACATTCCTGCTAGAAAAACACCTCCAGAAGAATGATTTGTGCCCTAAAATTTGTAAGAGACACTAGTTGACAATTTTTAATGAAATTAATAATTCATGAGTTCATACTATGCTAACTGGAGTCAGATGTTATAATGAGTAAATCAAACTCCTTATAAAAATCTGTCATGTAAACACAGCCATCCTGATCAACCGAACATGTAAGCTCATAAAAATAGCTGCTTCATTTCGTATTTCATTATAAAGCTGTATTCATTAGCATAAATTATTCTTCCTTCTTTATTGACTGTTACCTGTTTCAGCTTTGCTTTTATTTTGTACAGACTGCATGGTCTGTAAATACTTTTTTTGTATCTTTATACCTGTTAGCTTTAGTCCAGTTTCCTGAGCTTGCCCAGTATCCAAAGTATTAAAAAGAAATATTAGCAAATATTGCAGCTGCATTGCAAATTACTTAGGCTTGTGTATTAGAAAATTGGACATTAGTAGGTGGTGTTTGGAATAGAAAATGTCTGTGTATCAGTCCAAGATGTGAACATATCCAACTCCTGTACAAATATGGCACAAACTGTATATTGCAGGCGTCAGGCTTTCCTGCCTTCTTATGGGTGACTATTCCTCCTTATTGAATAATGTTGTCTAAGCTTCATCTGTTCCTAATTATATGCAAATACCCTTCTTTTGTCTTTTTACTGCTCATCAGGCTTGTTGTCCTCATTACTGCTTCACTGCTATTCACTGCAAGGGCTCACATAGGCCAAGCAATTAATAGGGTTCAAAGCTGCACTTGGTTTGGAAGCTGTTGTTGTCACAGTTGCTAATAGTCCAACCGTCATTAGGAAATAATTTTGAGAGACACTAGGGAGTCTTGGACCACCATGGCTATGAAGATGGAGTAGACTGAGGGATATGGAAGACTTTAAGGGTCACCTTATTCCTTCTGGTTCCTGGTCAGTGACAAAATACTGTGGTCCGGATCTTCAGGACTGTGTGGCAGAACTTCAACTGTCGTGTTAGTTTGTTCAACAAGGCGCAGGGCAAGATTTGCATCGAAGAAGGACAGTGGAACAGTGTTCAGGATCCTTAGGAGCCTTGTATCTCTTTGCAAAACCTGCTTCCTTGGAAGTGCTGGAGGCCTGGGACAGTGCCAGGTGTTTGGTGCTGGTGGGTCCGCAGTGCCACAACCCCGGGAGATGGAGGTGTCACTTGTATGCTGGAGTCTCTTGGTTTGGGTGGAACCCAAGAGCAGGAAGGGAGAAAGTTGCTGCCAGTTCTTGGGAGGGTAAAACAAACCTCCCAAATACAGAGGTGTGAAGTCAACCTGAAAGCAGTTTGTGAGCTGCTTGGTCTGGACTGGACTGTGTAGAGCTGTAACTGGGAGATGAGAGAGGATGCCTTCGTTTTAGTGAGGTAGATAGTGATTAGTGATGGCACTTGAAATTCCAGCATCATTAGCTACACTAGTGGTGCCATTGCAGCAGGGACATCCTGATGATGTGCTGAGCCATCAGGAGAGGTTGATGGATGCAGGCTTCCATGATGGTGTAAAGAACTTAAATCCTCAGTTGTCTTCAAGAAGAAGCCACAGCAGAAGAGCTGCTGTGTGTCAGGAGGATGTAGAGCTGCTGTGTGTCTCTTCTTCAGCTTGCACATATTGCTTGGTCATTTTTTTGGTAAGAAATTAGGTTAGACTGCGGATGCTGAAGGCTTTCTAAAAGACACTAGAGCTCAGGTATGGTTTTCTTCCCCTCTTATGATATATGTTCAAGGAGAACTGGTCTGTGAGGTTTTAGATTAGTAGAGGGTTTGTTTGATTGATTTTTAGATGGGCCTTTTGAAGAGCCTGCCAAAATTTGACCGTTAATGAAGCATTTTGCATGTGTGGTTAAGAGCTAATTCGGAATCAATTTTTGCCCAAATATTCTCATTGCACACTACGAGTGGAGGGAGCTCTACTGGAACAAGCCACTCATTCTGGGTTGAGAGTATTCATACAGGGAGATGTTAAAAATAAATTAAAAAAAACCCCTTTATGAAAAGAAAATCCCCGAGCCTTGATTTAGGTGTCAGTAAATCTTCCTCCTGCCTGATCAATCTGTTCTCTTCCTAGGTGCATTGCAACAACATGTTTTCCAAAGGGGTGAAGATCTTCCAGAAGGTGGAATGTCTGTTCAAACCACGCCTGATTGCAGACTGGGAGTCTGAACCAGTTGGAGTGGCAACTGTCTTAGATGACAAGAACCCCAGCGCTCGGTTTGTCACTGTCCCCCTCAACCAGCGCGTGGGTAAAGCCATACTTTGCCGCTTCTACTTTGCTGACACCTGGATGATGATGAGTGAGATTTCCTTCCAGTCGGGTGAGTATTCCTCCAAGTCAAGCAGATCTGGGGAAGCACAGGGAGCGAAAGAGATGGTGTGGAGATGTAAGATGTGGGGGTTAACACAAGAGTAAGGCACTGTGGGGCTACCTGGTAGGAAGGAGGTGGTAGTGGAAGCACTGAGGGGCTTGGAAAAACAATGCAGAGGCAGAAAGGTCCAGTCTACAGTGGATGCTTTTCATGTTGATACTGATGCACATATGCAGAAGCACAACCAGGACAACTAAAAATTGGGCTATAGAGCATTTATTCTTTTTGAGACAGCTGCCTGCTGCTTATAGAGTTGATTTTTACTTCTCTTTAGTAAGTATTTTATTATGAATAATTTAAGTACATCTACAGATGATGATCAAGTTAGCAGATTATTAAAAATAAGAGGCTGACATTTTTTTTTTCCCCACTCAAGTCTTAACTATGCCACAGCAGTCAGGGCTATGAGGTGCTTTAAACAGCTCTAGAAGGAAATGGACAGGGTCTTGGAGAAAACTGCCAGCACTGACAGGGAAATGATCTGGCTGTAGCTTCTTGAAGGCCCCTAATGAGCTCTAGTGAGAGGACATTGCTGAGGAAGGAACACTCCAATTGCAGCTCACCTCTTGCTGGTAGCAGCCCCTCCTGGTTACCCTTCCCTGTCATGCATGGGCCTAGGCAGGCTCTTGGACTGGGCTGGGATGAGTATTCTTACAATCATGCTAAAATGGAAAAAAAAAAAGAGGAGCTCTGGCTGAGCTCAGGGAAGGATCCTGCACGCCCTGGCAGTTTGCTGTGGTTGGGGAGTACGTGTGGCTCAGTGGAGAGGCTCATTCCTGTGGGTGTGCTGGGAAGTGCTGAGTGAGCAGGTAGCTCTGCTCGTGCTGCAGCCCAGCCCTGCTGGGGAAGGCAGAGGTGGTGGTTGGGATTGTGCTGACCTCTGGTAGGAGCTGGGAGGTTGTTGGACTGACACTTTCCCTTCCCTTCCCCAGACATGGAGAGTGTGAATCCTAATTTTGTGACGGTAGCCACAAGCACAACAGATCTCCTGGAAACAGAGTGCAACGTTACTGAGGGGACCTGGGGTAAGGACTTGTGTCACTCAGCCATGCCAAGGGCTTGAGTGTCAGGGGATTTCACAGTAACATCCTAGTTAATGTAGCCTCTCCCTCTATTTCTGGAGATCTGGGTATGGCCTGGTTATTGCTCAGGGCTGCATCTTGCTGTCCTCAGAGCCTCAACTCACTCTTCCCTCAGCTGGCTGAGGCTGCCTCAGAGCAAGTGGACTGAAGGCAGATGTGCAGCCAGTGAAACTCTGCAAACTGTCTGCTCTGTCATGGATCCATCACAGGAATCTCTTCCAATGATAAGAACAGACTTTGCAGAAGTTCTCTGCACAATTCTTGGCTACAAGCCTCCGAAATGAGAATTTCTGATAGGAACAAAATGTGAACACAGCTAATGTTATTGCTCAGGAAGCTGCCTGGGATCTTTTCCATACCAGACTGTAGGAAGAGACGTGTAGGAAGCTAGCCAGCACAGATAATATCCTGTGCTTTGTTAACTCCAGATTCTTCATACCTCTGTGATTGCAGAAACGACATCTTCTGTAACCAGCACCTGGATAGGAGAGAAAGCAGATGACTCCAATACCTCCATCCTCGTGGGCTGCCTTGTGGCTATTATCCTTCTGCTCCTGATGATTATAATCATTATTCTTTGGAAGCAGTATGTTCAAAAAAGGTTGGAAAAGGTAATACAGTGGGGCTATTTTGCAGACACCAATTTGCTATTAAATATTAACCCTAATGATCTCAGAATGGAAAGCACAGAGTTTCCCCAGCTCCATAGAGCAGCTAAAACTCTGTCCTCACATCAGAGGAGGATGCCAGCCCTATCCAAGATGTTACTGGAAGTGGCTGTGGTTGCAGCTAATACATTACTTGGCAACTGAGCATCGCCTCAGCATTTTTTTTCCCCTCTCTTTTACAGGCCCCACGTCGAATCCTGGAGGAGGATGCCACAGTTCGCCTCTCCTTCTACAGTTACACCATTGCCAACAACCAGACCCAGATCCACCAGTCAAATCCCACCTATGAACGTGCTTTCCCACTGGATTTGGAATATCACCAGCCAGCTACGCTGCTCCAAAAGCTTCCAGAGCTCTCCCAAAGTGCAGAGGATTCAGGTAATGTAATCATCAGTCTCCAGAAGTTAGGCATTTATTCTTTTATTATTTCCCTCAGATTTTAAAATGTGTCAATTCTCAGTGTCTAAGTAATCTTCTCTGACTCCTATGCAATACAATATTAACCCAGGACCCTAAGACAATATTCTAGAGCTCTGAAACTTTTTAGGACATAACTTTGGCAGATGGAGCACCAACCCCATCAGAGGGTGATGGCTTTTTATTGTTCTCTTTGAAGATGGTGTTTGTATGGTAAACAGGTTATCTTTTAGGAGCTGGTTTTAGCATTCACTCATCAAACAGCCCCTTGGCAGTGTAGTCACTGCCTGCAGCACCTCTTGGTTGTCCCGACTGGTTGGTGGAGAAGACCTTTAACACTTCTTCCTGCAGCAAAGGCTCTTTGAAATTCCCTTAGAAAAAGCAGAAGGAAATGCAGCAGAGAATTGTCAGTGGGGCACTAGCTTCCAGCTCCTGGGGAGCTTTTGGACACATGCAGAAGGGAATGTCTCCAGCAGTGTTTTGTACTTGGTGATGACAGTGTTGGTCAGTGAATGGAAGGACAGTGCTGCATTCTTCAAGCACCAACAAGTTGCTGAGATCAGGCATTATACTGCACAGGGAGATTGATTTGGATTGAGTCAGGATGTGGATTTGAAGCAGAACAAACATTCTGTGTCATGCTAACCATGCAGGGAGTTGATTATAAAGAGTTATTCCATTGTATTTATGTGAATAAGTTGTAAGAGGTAGCATAGGATGCAAACAGAGTACATGGAAAATGGAAACCTCAACCAGTTCTTGTTGCAGAAGGGAATCCAGAGCAAGTCTAACGCTGCAGACAACATCCCCGTGTCAGGTAAGGGGAACGGATCGTATTTAGGATGAATCAGAAACAGGATATCACTTCAGACCCATACCTCCATGTATGGGCAAGAATGGTAGCTCTCGTAACTGGATAGAGCAGGCAGCTGGTTCACACAAGTTCACTGGCACCTCAGGTGTTCTGGTCTCTGCAGAAGTGCAGCTTGCTCTGGTTTAAGTCCCCGTTAGAACAAAGCAGAGCCTTCCATCTGGGTCTACCTTGGTACAAGGCAGTAGGCATGCAGCTAGGCTGAATTCCCAGAGGTCTGCAGGATTGAAAGGAGTGGAAGCCAGGCTATACTGGTTTTATGGGATTGAGTGTGTCTGACTCCACCTGTCTTTGGTTTCTCCTTAGTGTGCAGTGGGGACTATGCTGAGCCTGACCTGACCAAGTCCACTCCTCACCAAGGCTTTCAGAACAGTGTTCCTCATTACGCTGAAACAGATATCGTTCACCTGCAAGGTGTGACTGGCAACAACATGTATGCAGTGCCAGCCCTCACTGTGGATTCACTTACCAAGAAGGACATCTCCGTGGGTGAATTCCCACGGCAGCAGCTACGACTCAAGGAGAAGCTTGGAGAAGGACAGTTTGGAGAGGTACAGCCCTTCTCTTCTACTTTTCCTCCATTATAAAGGAGCTGCCTGGAACAGTGAAACTTCTGAGCTGCATCTCTGGCACTACTCTGTATTTAGGGGCTGAGGGACCTGTGTGCCAGTATTTTATTTAATGCACATCTCCCCTGTTGGGGAAAGCTGTTGTCCCTTAGAATAGGCTTCAGAGAGCCCCATTCTGCACCTGGGAAGCTGCTGCCTGGTACCACATGAGTCTTCCTCAACAGATGAGCTTTGCAAACTTCTGTTTGTTGGCTATATCCCCATTTATGACCCTAGAGAAAAGACCTGGAGGTGGGAACTCAGACTGCTTCACGGTTGTTGTTCATCCATGGACATCTCAGACATGCAGTGGCTGTCACCCACCTTTAGGCATGTGAGTTTGAAAACGATAGCAGTGACTCCAGCCAAGACAGATTGATCTGAGCTGTAAAAACAGCTTTCACATTAACAGGTGGAGGTTCTGGTGGAGCTCTGCACACTGACCCAAGCAAAGACAGACATTTCCTAAGCCCTGTGGTGCCCTCACATAATCTCTAGCATTGCTGCTTGCTCAAGCCCCAGTTTGTGTCAGAAGCCTCAGGCAGCATGACGTACATCTGTCATCTGCCAAGCTTTTCTCTTTACTCCTTGAGTTGCTTTTGAGCTGTGAATGTTTTCACATCACCTTTTCTTCTCTCCCTGCTTTGTTTCCACACTGTCCCTAGTTCCATGCTGAGCCAAGTCTTCCCCTCACCTACTCCCACTCTTCCACTGTCTCTTTCCTTCACAGCTTTTGCTCATTCACAGCCTTCAATTCTACCTATCTACTACATTTTGGCAAAGCAGGGCCCTTTACTGACCTCTTCCTCATCTGTGATGGGCCTGTCCTTATAGTTCCTCCATTCTGACAGCACACCTTC